CTGCTGGCCTGCTTCCTCCTTCCCCAGGACACCTGGGATATGGTTCTAATCTCTCCAGAGCTCAGGAGAGAGGTTATTGATGGTGTCCAGACTGGCCATGAGTGACAGGTATATTGCAGCAGGGATGGCATTCACAGGAGAGCAAGGCAAACCTGTCATGGATTTGGGACTTTATTTTCTATGGCCATAAGACATAATTTAATCACTAAGTCCTTTAGCATACTGATGTTCTCCTGCATGCCTGCTCTCAATTCTCTGAGCATGGTGGCGAGACTCCGTGAGCCAGTGAAATAGCCTATGTTGGACGTGTAAGTTAACATATGCATTTCTTTTCCTTTCTCTTGCTCTGAGTTATTTGAATATCCCCTCTTACTTCTCTCTTATCTTCCCCTGCATTTCTTCATGACCTTTGTTCCTGACCTCTATTTATCCAAATTTGAGGTTTTCTTGAGTTGTCTGTCCCAGGTATACCCCCAAACTCTCAAGCCTCACTTTCTTTTCTTGGCAGTTTACCCATATCCCTTCTACAGTCTCTGTTATAAACACCAGTCACCGGTGAAGCAGATCCGTCGCTGTGGACACTGCCATCAGGACACCACTGGGGTCCTCCCTGTTGTCTTTGGCTTCCAAGTGAGGCTAAAGGGGAGCTTGATTTCCCATGAGTGGAAGCAGAGTCTCTATATAAAGTCCACTTTAAAGGTCTGGACAAGCCCCCTATTTATAGTAAAATCCTTTTCATAATGATTCATGTATGGTGCCTGGAATTGCTCATGGCTAGGTCAGGCCATAGGCCATTGTGGCTATAGAATGAGCTATGACTTAGGGCTCTTTCAGACTCTTTGGAGTTCACCCAGAGAAGTGTTATCACAGAGTCAGCCTGGATGGATTACTGTGGCAGGGACAGTAAATTGAAGTTTGAAAGGAATCTACTTTTATCAGGCCAATCAAAATAAGTTTTATTGCCTCAAGCTTTATAATTAATATATTGGATGAATCAAATAGACTCTAAAGAGGCTTATGAAATGCTTACTGTGCAAGGTACGACCCAGAAGGTGTTTGCTCTCAGACCTCCTGGGAGGCTGAGCAATGTGAACCTCTGGGGATGTAGACAACTGGGGATGCAACCCATCTCCTTTTTTGCAACTGAGACCTTGATTTTTGGATTTTGGGTACCTACCCTTTCAAACAACTCCCTGCTTCGCACAGCTTCTATAGGAACCAATATACGCTGGGCATCTAGCAGAAGCCCCGTCATAGCAGTAAGTGGTATGGTAGATCCCCGATTCTCATCCTTCTCAACAAGCCTTTGAGCCATAGGGAGGCTAAGAGGGTAGACATGAACTTGTATCATTTCTTAGGTGATAACGAATTATGGTTTTGTGCTTTTTGGAGTGGCTGTGTTAGCCAGACTTTTATTGCTCTGATAAATACCCCAGAGGGGAAAAGATTGATTTGGCTCACAGTTTCATAGGTTTCAATCCACAGCTGTTCAATTTGGATTTTCAGGGTTACAATGAGGCAGAGCATCATGGCAGACAGGGTAGAGTGGGGGCAGAGCTACCTACTTCAGATGGTCAGGAAGCAGAGTGGCTTAGCATGAAGGGGCCAGGGCCATGATATACTCTCCAAAGACATGCCCCCAGTGACCCACTTTCTCCAGCAAGGCTCCTTCTACAGTTCCATTCTCTCCCAATAATCTATTTGGATTTTGAACATACCATTGGCTTAGATCGTCGATTAGGTCATAACCTGCACAGTACACTCAGTCCCCTTAAAGTTCTACCTTGGAATACTGCTGCTTTGGAAACCGAGCTTTTGAACACATCTGGCTTGGTACCAAGCCGTAACAGTTATTGACAGTATTATTCTTCTAGCCATTCAGGACCTTCAGCTACCTACTCTTGCATATTCTGGGAGTGGTTGTGAGTTCATCTGTTTGGACAGAGACTATCTCTATGAGGAGTCAAGAAAAAAGCCAAAAGCGAGGAAAGATTGCTCTGCCAGAGGGGAAGCTGATATCATGCTCTGTATTCACAAAGAAGGTTCCAGAAGCATTGTATGATACCTGTTTATATTTCTGTCATCTTTTCTAAGCCATTCAGCCCACAAATTATTGGTCACCATTTCCAGTATGCAAGTCATGCAGGTAGCCCAGAGTTAAATCTATCTAAGGACATAGATCGTTGTGTGGAAATATATGAGGCAGGTGTGCACATGTATCAAGAGATGCAATAGTACTACTCACACAGTGCCTTCTCTGAGCCACAGTCATTGTTGGGATAGGTAGGGTCCATGGAAGCCCCTGTGCTCTCCAACCATTCCTGAATATCAAAGAGCATAAGAGAACCAATGTATACGCTCTTAGACCACACCTTGTCATTTTACTGAGACGGAAGGAGGCTTTGAGCCTATCGCTGCAAGAAGAGTAGACCCTCAGCTGAAGCTAAAGAGTGGCTGGTACTGTCCCCCTGCCCCCTCCTTCCCCACCTCGTGGTGCTCCATCACCGAGCCACACCCCTCTCTCACCGTCACTGTCTAAACTGGACCATTGTTAAACCACAACATACCCCTCGCCTCTTCTTGTACATCCCTAAGTCTACCCTCCTCACTCCCTTACACAGACATTCTGTCTTTCTGTGTACACAGGGACACTGCCCTGCCACCCTGTCCTCGGAAACTTCTTTAAAACTCGGGTCCCATGCCTGCCAGACGAGTGCTCCACTAATGAGACATGCCCCCTGCTCTCTCCTGGCTATTTTATTTTACATTTTGAGACAGGGTTCCATGAGTTGCCAAGGTTGGCCTTTAACTTTCTTTGGCAAGCCTTGAACCTAGGTTTCTCCAGCCCCAGACTCCTAAGCACCTGGGAATACAGGCCTATACCACCAAGCCTGACCTGGAGCTCTTGATTCAATGGAGTAGTCTACCTCTTTGGTGAAGAATGTGCAGAACAGTCTGGAAGTTACTGTTTTCTCTATTTTCCCTCTTCATCTTTATAAACCATCAGGGAATACAGTCAGTTGAAGGCTTGCAGGGTTTTGGGTGGCAGAAGGATTTTGAGAATGGGGAAGGCATCTGATATTGCAGAAAGCCTGTGTGCATGAAGGAGAAAGTCAGGCTGGGAGCCCGCGGCCTTCCTGGCACGGTGTATATGGGCCTCTTGTCCTGTACCCGGGAAGTTACTCAGATGTGAGGAGCACGGCCCGCTTAATATCTAGTTGACCCAATCGTGAAACTTGGCTTCTTACTTTAATATTTTCCCACCACTAGTTTATATTCACCACCTACTAGCCTTCAGTGTTTCTTTTGAATAGGAAGCCTTATGTTTATTTGCTTCTTAAACACGCTTAGATTTTCTCTAGGAAGTACTGGCAGTGAGGGAGAGGGCAATTGAAAAAGGCAGAAAGGGCAGAGACTGGTACTTCTGGTTCGGGCAAAGCACCGTCAAATTTCGGCAGATGCACAGGCCTTGGGAGAGTGTTTGGAAAGTCACTCTGCTTGCTCTTCAGATGTCTTTGAGATCCAGTGGCTGCAGAAGGGAAGCCCATCCTCAAAAGACCACAGAGGGTGGCCCGTTCCTCTGCCTCCCCCGAAACAGCCAACACTTTTCTTGCAGAGGATTGCCTGCCTGCTTGAAGATGGAAATCAATGAGTTAGAAACTGATTAAACAATTCAAATAGCAACTGATAAATGGATTAACCCTCTGTAATGTAATTCTGCTAGCTTTTGTCTTCCGCCTTCCCCAGGTAAGTTTGCTATTCCTGGAGGCAAAGCAGAGGCATGGAGGAAGCCAAGGCCAGAGGGAATCATATTAAAGGGGGCGAATCCGTTTATCAGTTACGGTCTGGCTGGTATTTCTGTTCACATATCTGCCTCCTCTTCACAGATTCGTACCCTACGGGACCCTGATTAATGTTAGCCAGTGTGAATAATGAAAGATAGCAGCAGACTCGGAGGATGCTAAGGAGGAACATACCCTAGTGGTTAAGGCTGACTCCACAAACAGAGAGACTTCTCTTGTTAGTGGCAATCAGGGAGTATGAACATGCCTAAGAAATGTCTACAACAGGACGAGAGAAATAAGAAATTGGAAGCATTCTCCCATGTGAGGAACCTGGTTGGGGCTTTCCAACTTTCCATTTCTAGTAACTGGGAATGACTTTGGGCCTCATAGGTTATTTCCACTGGGCTTTGTTTTCAAGATCACATCTAAGGAGTTATTAACACCTTCATTTGGACATTCAGCAGGCATAGGTTATGGAGTTGTTGTGTCCAGTTACTTAGGAAGATCTTCAGCCTGCACATATGCTCATTCCCCCATCATTCCATCCATCTCTGACATGGGACACAGTCACTCTGTGTCCACTTCTAATTCTAGGCATTTGGGGTTCTTCAGATGAACTTATCCTACTTGCTTTCCATGATCAACCAGTCTACAACCTAAGAGCTGGCGCTAAGAACAGACACTTGTACACACTCCATGGTGTTTACCAAGAGTTCTCAGGAACCTCTCCAGCATGCTGTCTAGAAGTGACTAGCCACAGATACTGAATAAGCATCTCTCTCTCTCAAAGACTAGGCCAAAGCACTGGCTGCTCTCTCCCTCAGGGTATCACTGTTTACAATTTCCATCTGATGATTTGGAGTCTGTGCAGGATTAATAGCGGCTTGCTTGACTAATAACTCATACCATTTTGAGTCGTTTATTAATTTAGAGATGGAATCAGAGGGGCAATGAGGTTTCTATAAAAAAAAAAACCATAGAACTGGAAAAATTTGCAAAGATGAGATTCTGAATGACTTGCAAGATGTGTACCAGTAGACCAAGGGGGGGGGGGGGGGGGAAGCAAAAGCAAACAAATCCTAGCCCAGTATCACCGCTAGGCTGTAGCAAACTCTTCCATCCTAAGCTTTCTGTTCTTTCTGGAAGAGGCTCTGCTGTGCTCCAGTGGACAGCATCTAATGCTAAAATTGGAATTCTTTCTCAATGTTTCCACAGCCCAGAAAGGACCAGATGGGACAGTCATTCCCAACAACTACTGTGACTTCTGCTTGGGGGGCTCAAACATGAACAAGAAGAGTGGGCGGCCAGAGGAGCTTGTGTCCTGTGCAGACTGTGGACGCTCTGGTGAGTGTGGCCCCTTCCTGCGCTGTGTGCCATAGGCCTCTTCTGTTTGGATAGCTCTGCCATCTCACCATGGCTGGGGAGGGAGAGGAGCATGGAGAAGTGACGGGGGTGATGATTTTGAGGGGAAAGGGGGGTTTCAGGTCACTTCCATGTTTTTCTTCTTTGGGTCTTAAGAACATAAAAACCATTCTCTGGGTCCCAGGTGAGAGGACGAGGAGGAGGTATGGCCCTTCCACGGGGTGTACATTGTTTTGTATGTGTAGTTGTGGTCAAAACCAAAGTAGAGCGGAGATACCTGGAGGTTCCAGGCAACACGCTAGCCTGTACCACAAGATGAACGTAGCAAAAACTGTGTTTGTTCTGTGGAAATACCCGGGACAACCCCAGAGTACGGAAACAGAAGGATTAGGGAAGCCTGAACTGTGGGGCTTGGAGAGTCCTGAGCTCCTTCCCAGCAGCATAGCCCTCCCACCATCATTGGCCGCTCATCCCATATTTCCGTGTGTGACAGCACAGAGCTGCCTACCCAGGAGGCATTAGGGCAAGCGTCCTTGAGACTGACCTGCAGCTGACCTTTTCATCTTGTCTATCCAAAGGCTCAAGTATCAAAAAGAGACTTTTGGTCTCGTTCCTTCATTCTTAAAACGAGTTAAGAGTCTTGGCTGCGGATTGTTTTTAAATTGTAGATAGATCATTCTTTTTGCCTGATCATGGTTGGTTGGTGCCACCCCTCCGCAGTTTTTCTATGTCATAATGAGACCAAAGCACAAGGCAGGAAGGAGACAAGATTTCAGATGGCGTCTTCAGTTTCATGAGCTGCTGGCTAGAGGCGAGACACTTTGGTTGGGTGGTTGCACAGCCTGAGAGATCATTTCATCTGATACATTTTGACCCCAGTCCCGAGAGAAGGACCGAGGTGACCTCATCTTGGTTTTCTGCAATGACTCAGTTCTCCCTCTTGTGCCCCCCCCCCAACTTTACCTTTAGCATGATGTGTTTTGAAGTTAAAGTTGTTTAGGGCTCTGGACAGCCTTGAGCGGTAAAGCAGCCATTGGAAACACGACTTAGTGTCCATTGCATAAGACTCTTTATTTAATTCTCAAGGACCCTGCCAGGGAATTCCTTTCATGCAATTCTGTCAGTTTGGTTCATGGTCCATAGCGTGGTATGTAACATTGAACTTTTTACTTAGAAGATACGACCCTTATGATAGACAGCACTGGTTTTTAGATTTTTAAAAAGAAACTTAAAACAAATGAACTTCAATCCAGTGCTTTTCATTTGTTTTAAGGTCAGGCACTCAAGCAACATCTCTCCTATCAGAAGCAAGGCCGTTTGGTGGAGTGGCATGCTAAGCAAGGTGTCGTGGACCGCTGTAGGCTTTGGGTGGTTTAGAGGAGGCAGTTAGAGACTTCTCACCGTGAAATGCTGTCATTTCACCCTTTCCTTCCCAACAAAAGGATGAGGTACTTCAACTGATCCATGGGCATCGTAAGCAGGGTGTCGGGTTTTGCTTTTTTGCCCTCTCCTACACGAAACCTGTCTTTGTACGACTTTTGCTCAGCGTTTCTTTCCTTGGTTCTGCCTGATACATGTACCTCATGTGTCATGTTACAGGGACGTAGGTATTCTCACTGCGAATGCCGGGAATGAATCTGGTGGGTCACTTATTACCACCTGACGCTAATGCTCCTGAAATTGTTAAGAGACAGGTAGCGTTAGCCCCTGAATGGGACCGCTAAGTCAGATGGGTGAATACATCTCTGGGGCCTCTCTAGGGCCCTTCCAGAGGAGAAGATGAGTTGGAATAGCACCTATTCCCTGCTCACGTACCCACTGCATCTGGTTCCTGGAAGAAAGTGCCTTGTCCAACCCTGGCATGGAAGGGACCATCACTATGGTATTGGGTTCCAATAGAGTATGAAACAATATAAGCCCGAGTTTTACAGGTTTTAGGATACTGTATTCATTAGGCATTTTAAAGCCCCATTTTCACCTTTCGGTGTGTCTTGAGTTTGAGTTGACAGGATGAACTTTCTGGAGTAGCTAAGACCCTGGTATGTTTAGTGGTGGTAGTGTGTGAGATTGCAAGCATTTCCTTCGGGGTTTAAGAAAGTGAGAAGTTGCTGGGTGGTGGTGGCGCACACCTTTGATCCTAGCACTTGGGAGGCAGAGGCAGGTGGATCTCAGTGAGTTGGAGGCCAGCCTGGTCTACAAGAGCTAGTTCCAGGACAGGCTCCAAAGCTACAGAGAAATGCTGTCTCAAAAAACAAAAAAGCAGAAAACAAACAAACAAAAAAAAGAAAGTGAGAAGTTCTTCCGAACTAACACTCGGACTTTCCACCGCTCTTTGCTTTGGCACAAATGAACTACATGGCGTAAGGGTGGACTTGAAAGAGCTGTCAAAGAGCGGGATTAGAGGTGGGTAAAAATAAAAATAAAACGAACGGAGGCTTAACCACCTTGAATGGGTTATCTGAGAGTAATACCTTGGCAAAGCTGACTGTCAAAGTGACGGACGAACATTGTTCAAAGAAACGTCAACTGAAACTACAAAGAAATACCAACAAGGCTTTAAAACCGCCAGGCAAAAGCATTGTGTGGGGCAGGGCTGGGGGAGCGTGTACCTCTGTGCGAGCGGACCAGAGGAGATAGCGTGCGTGTATCTATCTCTTGCTGTCAGAAGCGGTGGACACATGTGTCATGGTAGCGATGGGACCTATTTGGGGAAGTGGAACCTTCCTGGAAATGTGTGCTTTGTCCCGAATCCCTGTTACCAGGTGACATACCCGGTTAGTTCCTTTTGGTGTAACAGTGGCTGATTATCTTGCGGTTAGGAATAACACTGTAATGATGTAATGAGAATATTAATGATGCTGTCTGTTGCTTAACCCATGTGCTGATATATTCATCATACATGTCAGCTCATTTGGGAGGAGAAGGCAGGAAGGAGAAGGAGGCAGCGGCCGCAGCACGTACCACGGAGGACTTATTCGGTTCCACGTCAGAAAGTGACACCTCAACTTTCTACGGCTTTGATGAGGACGATTTGGAAGAGCCTCGCTCCTGTCGAGGACGCCGCAGTGGCCGGGGTTCACCCACAGCAGATAAAAAGGGCGGCTGCTGAGCCCGTGGGACAGACTGTCTGGCTGATTAGCCACCCCCTCTGACTCTGGTCATTGTTCTAGTTGTGATATATATTTTTAAATGAAAGACGGCTTGGGCTTTTCCCGTTCTCCTTGCTTTTTTCTCCTACCTTCCACGTGTCCCTCCCCCTCCTCGCATCCTTCTATTTTGGGTACAACAGAAGCACAAACTACTGAAACAAAACAACCACAAAAGAGCAGAATAAGAGCCCTCTGTGGAGAGATGGCACCATGGCGGGCTATTTATTTTCCCTAGAAATAGCAAGTTAGGTGAGTTTTCTTTCTGTTGGGCGAGAGCATCTTTATCGTGTGAGCAGAGTTGATTTCCCCGGTTTTCAAGAGAAGAGGAACATAAGGTTTGGAAACAAAGAATAAATAACATTAACAATTATTATTTATACATGTAACTACTATTAGATTCAAATGAGGGAAGAGAGAGAGAGAGAGAGAGAGGGAAAGAGATGGGAGAGAGAAAAAAAAATCAAAGAAATGGAAGTAACATCCTGTTTGAGGCCAGCCACTAGGTGTGTGTGTGGAAATTTTCCTCAATGGGAGTGGGTGGCTCCGCAGAGCAGACCCCTTCCCATCTTTCTCTCTGCTTGTGAGAAAATGGCAGCCATCCCAGAGAAGCCTGGGGCCACTTACATCTGGCCTCCTTCCAGCTCTGGCCCTGACCAGCAGTGGCCGCTTCCCTTGGCTCCTCTCTTCTTTCCCGGTGGCTGAGTTTCCCTTCCTTTCGACCTGGCAAAGATCAGCATCCGTCTGAACACAGGAATGGGATGTCAGCAAGTCACAGGCTCGGCCCTGGCAGAGCGACTAAGGTGGTTCTCCTGGAAGGGAGAGAGATGCCGCACAGTGTGTCTCCCCTCCCTTTGCCCCTGCATCAAAACCACGTAGCCGCCCGCTGGATGATGACGTCTTCCATGTTTCTTCCACTTTTTATAGTGCCTGCCAGGCACTTTGTTTTATCTTTCCAATAGCATTTCCTGAAATAAACCAAAGCAACACTTGGTCCGAGGCCTCAGGGATAAGGAAGACTGTCCACCTCATTGGCAGTCCCTGAGAGCAGCTGGGAGGCCCTGCTTAAACAGGTATGTCCTGGCTGAGTTGTTTCACAATGAGTGCAAACCCATCATAGTTTCTTTTTTTTTCCTCTTCGTTTCCCCCCCTTTTTATTTCTTTCCTTTGGTTCCTCTAAGCTTGCTCTTTTGTGTTTCTGGGTTCCCACTTTGCAGTGTGGGGTGGTGAATGGAGAGTCTGGCCTGCGTGTGCATGCTGGGCCTAGGAGCTGGGCTGATGCTGGCTTGGGAATAGGGGAGGGGCTCGATATAGAGAACGGCAAGCTTTTGGCTTCTGGCTTTGGCTTTGGCTTCAGCTGCAAGAGAAAGTGGCTGGGGAAATGCTTGGCTGACTTTTCCCTTGGTTAAGTGTGGAAGTGAAGTCTGTTGGCTTGGGTAGGAATAAAGAGGCAGAGAACAAGGTCCTGCATGTCTAGGGTGGTACTTTGGGCTCTGGGGATCTGTTTCACAGCCAAGGGACCGAATCTAAATTCAGGCTTTCTGGGCTGGCGAGATGGCTTTTGGGCAAGGGTGCTTGCAGCTAAGCCTGACAACCTCAGTTTGATCTGTGGAATTCACATGGTGGAAGGCGAGAACTGACTCTTGGAAGCTGTCTTCTGACATCTCCATGCGCACCCTGGTGTGTGTGAACATACAAAGACACATAGGAACATGCATGAGCATGTGACACATACATACACAGAACAAACCAACCAGCCTACCAAACAAACAAGGACCTCTGATTAAAGACCTCTGATCAAGCACAACACTCACCTGGGCTTTTGGAAGATTCTGA